TGTCGCTCACCTGTATTTACTGATGCTTTGGAAATCATGTAAAATAAGGTTAAAATCATAATTAATAGTATTAGATATTAGATATTATAATGATATCTAAGATAATAACAAAAAACTGCAAAATTTTTGTAAAATTAATAACTCAGGGGCAGCAACCCAACAACGGGTTGTCGGTTTCGTCTGAAAATTTCAGGGCAGATAAATCTAAATCTGATGAACATTTTTGCCACCTGTCAGATTTGCTCTAAATGCTTTAGTTTCAGAGATATAAACCAATAAAATGCTCCGCAGGGCACAGCTTGATACGACCGCAGAGGTCGAACCCTGAACAGTTGGGGCAAGTATGGACACAACATTCAAGCTTGATACAGCTCTGAATTTGGATTGTGATTAAATATTTGACACAGCATAGATTTCTGACACAGAATTAAATGTGGTCTAAGAACTTAAAAATTTTAAATTGGACATTCAACTATTATGGTCCAATATCCAAAATCTAAATACATGGTTAGATTCAGCATATCAAAGAACCCCAAGAATTCAATTTTTGATGAAATCAAACAAAGTTTAATTTTGGACCCTTTTGATCTCAATGTGGACAAAGTTGATAACGGGGTCCAAAAATCAAAAATCTAAATACATGGTTAGATTCAGCATATCAAAGAACCCCATATATTCAATTTTTGTTGAAATCAAACAAAGTTTAATTTTGGACCCCGAGTTGAACCAACTTGAAAACTGGGCCCATAATCAAAAATCTAAACACATGTTTAGATTCAGCATATCAAGGAACCCTAAAAATTCAATTTTTGTTAAAATCAAACTAAGTTTAATTTTGGACCTTTATGTAGACCAATTTGAAAACGGAACCAAAAATTAAGAATCTAAATACACAGTTAGATTCGGCATATCAAAGAACCCCAATAATTCAATTTTTGATGAAATCAAACAAAGTTAAATTTTGGACCCTTTGGACCTCAATGTGGACCAATTTAAAAACGGGGCCCAAAATCCAAAAACTTAATACACAGTTATATTCAGCATATGAAAGAACCCCATATATTCAATTTTTGTTGAAATCAAACAAAGTTTAATTTTGGACCCCGATTTGGACCAACTTGAAAACTGGGCCCATAATCAAAAATCTAAATACATGGTTAGATTCAGCATATCAAAGAACCCCATATATTCAATTTTTGTTGAAATCAAACAAAGTTTAATTTTGGACCCCGATTTGGACCAACTTGAAAACTGGGCCCATAATCAAAAATCTAAACACATGTTTAGATTCAGCATATCAAGGAACCCTAAAAATTCAATTTTTGTTAAAATCAAACTAAGTTTAATTTTGGACCCTTTGGACCTTTATGTAGACCAATTTGAAAACGGAACCAAAAATTAAGAATCTAAATACACGATAAGATTCTGCATATCAAAGAACCCCAATAATTCAATTTTTGATGAAATCAAACAAAGTTAAATTTTGGACCCTTTGGACCTCAATGTGGACCAATTTAAAAACGGGGCCCAAAATCCAAAAACTTAATACACGGTTATATTCAGCATATGAAAGAACCCCATATATTCAATTTTTGTTGAAATCAAACAAAGTTTAATTTTGGACCCTGATTTGGACCAACTTGAAAACTGGGCCCATAATCAAAAATCTAAATACATGGTTAGATTCAGCATATTAAAGAACCCCAAGAATTCAAGAATAAAACCCCATTGAAATTGATCAAGAAATAAGCAATTTATACGAAGTATCTTCTTTTGCACAATACTGTGCAATTGAATATTTCTTGCTATTGCGCAATACTGTACAATTGACAATTTCTTGCTATTGGGCAATATTGTGCCAATGGATATTTCTTGCTATTGCGCAATACTGTGCAATTGAAGATTTCTTGCTATTGCGCAATACTGTGCAATTGAAGATTTCTTGCTATTGTGCAATACTGTGCAATTGAAAATTTCTTGCTATTGCACAATACTTATTATATAATAATTTACACATCCTGTTTGGTGTTTATCTCCTACCATATCATTATTATTTGCTTTTAAATATAAATCAGAAATAACCAACTTAAAATGGAAAATTTAAAAAAAAAAAAAAAGGAAAAAAAGAAAGAAAAAAAAAATCCCCCCCCCCAAATTTTTTGAACCCCCTTATGATTCATCACCCCCAAACTCAATCCCAGCCTTCCCTTTGTGGTATGGTACCTTGCAGTACAATTTCAGAGAGATCCATACACTTGAACACAAGTTATTGTCTGGAAACTAGAAAAATGCTTATTTTTGGCCCCTTTTTGGCCCCCAATTCCTAAAAGTTTCGGGCAATTACCCCCAAACTCAATTCCAGCTTTCCCTTTGTGATATGGAACCTTGTAGTACAATTTCAGAAATATCCAAACACTTACACACAGGTTATTGTCATGAAACTAGAAAAATGCTTGTTTTTTGCCCCTTTTTTGGCCCCTAATTCCTAAAATTTTGAGGCAATTACCCCCAAAATCAATTACAGCCTTCCTTTTGTGATATGGAACCTTGTGGTACAATGTCAGAGAGATCCATACACTTACACACAAGTTATTGTCTTGAAGTTACAAAAATGCTTATTTTTGGCCCCTTTTTGGCCCCTAATTCCTTAACTGTTGGTACCATAACCCCCAAAATCAATCCCAACCTCCCTTTTGTGGTATTGAACCTTATGGTAAAATTTCATGGAGATCCATTCACTTAAACTAAAGTTAGAGTGCGAAAACCAATGTGTCTTCGGACGACGACGACGACGACGCCAACGTCATACCAATATACGACCAAAAAATTTTTAATTTTTGCGGTCGTATAAAAACTGCAAAATTTCCTTAAAATTACCAATTCAGGGGCAGCAACCCAACAACAGGTTGTCAGATTTGTCTGAAAATTTCAGGGCAGATAGATCTTGACCTGATAATCAGTTTTACCCTATGTCAGATTTACTCTAAATGCTTTGGTTTCAGAGATATAAGCCAAAATCTGCATTTTACCCCTATGTTCTATTTTTAGCCATGGCGGCCATCTTGGTTGGTTTGCGGGGTCATCGGACACATTTTTAAAACTAGATACTTGAATGATGATTGTGTTTAAGTTTGGGTGCATTTGGCCCAGTAGTTTCAGAGGAGAAGATTTTTGTAAAAGTTTACGGACGACGGATGACGGACGCAAAGTGATGAGAAAAGCTCACTTGACCTTTCAGGTCAGGTGAGCTAAAAAGGTAATAAATTTTTACAAAATTTCCTTCTAGATACTAGCTTTTGATCATAAACAAGCTTCTGTCCAAGTGTGGTACAAATCCAGGATAGTTTAAGAAAGTTATTAAAATTTGAAAAACTTTAACCACAGAGTGAATGTTATGTTAACTGGCAGAAAAACTAAGTCCATATATGAGTAAAATACGGATAAACAGGATTTTTTTTTTTTACAAAATTTTCTTCTGGATACTATCTTATGATTATAAACAATCTTCTGTCCAAGTTTGGTACAAATCTAGGATAGTTTAAGAAAGTTATTAAAATTTGAAAAACTTTAACCACAGAGTGAATGTAATGTTAACTGGCAGAAAAACTAAGTCCATTTATGAGTAAAATACGGATAAACAGGATTTTTTTTTTATAAAATTTACTACTGGATACTATCTTATGATCATAAACAAGCTTCTGTCCAAGTTTGGTTGAAATGCAGGATAGTTTAAGAAAGTTATTAAAATTTCAAAAACTTTAACCACAGAGTGAATATTTGTGGACGCCGCCGACGGAATGTAGGATCGCTATGTCTCGCTTTTGCGACAAAAGTCGCAGGCTCGACAAAAAGTATAATAGCCTTTCAAGACTTCATAATTATTTGGACTAGGCTATTATATATTTTTTGCTTTGACGCCTTACATCGATGCTGTAAGGCGTCAAAGCAAAAAAGTATAATAGCCTTTCAAGACGTCATAAATATTTGGACTAGGCTATTATATATTTTTTGCTTTGACGCCTTACATCATTTGTTGTACATCGACGCTGTAAGGCGTCAAAGCAAAAAAGTATAATAGGCTTTCAGGAGTTATAATTATTTGGACTAGGCTATTATACTTTTTTGCTTTGACGCCTTACATCGACACTGTAAGGCGTCAAAGGAAAAAATTATTGTAACGGAGATGCTGTGAAATAATCTCCATTTGCTTGAATATGGGATGACTCAAAATGAACTTTAGCACTGTACAAGAACGGAATACCAAAGTGAAAATATAAATGAAATTATATTATGATGATTTAAAGACGTTTTTTCCAACTTACTATATATTTTATAGAAAAATTTGCCATTCTTATGGAGGAATTATACCTTATAACTGAACTTGTAAAAAGAATAGACTTATTATAGAAATATTTTGTACTGGGTCCCAATTAGACCAGTGGAGCTGTATTTGCTCCACACTCTCTGACTGTGAATTTACTTAGAGGAGCTGAAATAGCTCCGCACTTATTTACTAATTACTTTAAATAACTAAATTTATGTTTTGGTTTCATTGTTCACATGTAAATTTATGTGGAATATTTAATAAAGTATCTGAACATCAGTATTTGGTCTCATTTGCCAGAGCTCAGTCCCAGAGGAACGAACCTATGTCCGATGTTTAATCGACACGAGGGAACGGTGACGCATAGCCACCCGACCCTCCTATTACAGTACAATAGCCTTTCTAGACGTCATAATTATTTGGACTAGGACTAGTCCTACCCGAATCCTCCTGTACGGTTGTAGGCATGGTACATAAATCATTGGTAGCAGAAAATAAAAAAAAATCCAAATAAGTTAGAAAAGTGGCCTCTGTTCTCAGATTCTAGCCATAAAACAGTAAATCATCAACTAATTGACTAAAAATACATTTGTCCAAAAATTGTATCGACTGTCCAGTTTCTAGCATCAGTACAGTTGTTACTACTCAGAACGTTCCACGACAACATAGTATTAACCTCAATTGTTCTTTCTTTTTTCTTCGCCTCATTTTTCTTACTGGGTCCTTCTTTTTTCGGAGGCATGTTTAGAGGAAAAGATTCTCTTATTTACAGGCGAATCTTTGAAAATATTGCACAATACAGAAAATGTGTTCGGAAAAATTATGGCGGAGATGCTCAATTCCCAGTTTCGAATTTTCAAAGGATCATCAATTTTTAACTTGTTTTAGCAATATAATATTTGACAAAACAGTTAATTCATATCCTTAAGATGAAAAATACAAGATTTTGTTTGTTTATGTAGTTCGAAAATATTGTAAAGCTAGTCGTTGTTCACGGTGAGGTTAAAATAAAGAAAACATTTCGATAAAGGCCTATGAATCCAGGGTTTTGTGAATAAATGGTAACTATCGCTTGGTGATTCCTTCAGTTTACAGCTACATGTAGTAATAATAATTTTAAACAGCCAAAATTATCCAATTCAGATACCGATACACTATAATAAAATATTTGGATTTTTGATTTAATTCATACAAAACATCGTTTTTTAAATTTTAATTCCATGGTTGAAATAACTTTTCGCACAAGTTTAACATTTCTGAACAGGTAGAAAAGATTTGCAGTATCATACATTTACGTCAGGTTTTTTGTGTGCATGTGAAACTGTGTAAGTCTTAGGGAGCTACCATTTCATTTATAGGGGGCTTGGATGAAATTTGTAAAAAAAAAAGCAGGCAGGAGGTTTGAGTGAAAAAAAGTAAGATGAGACACTATGCCAAAAAAAAATTTTTTTTTTTTTTTTCAGAACAGAGACACGTTATTGTCTCCAGTTGTTGTGAGTCTAGGAGGGTAAGAATTTGCCCTTTACCGTCAGGCGTCACACGTCCATTTTCGGCCACCGTTAGCGTCAAATTGGTTTAAATTATACCGTGAGTCGTCAAAATATCCTTATCGTGATTCGTCAGGGGTCTCAAATAATTATCGTTACCGTTCATTTCTGGAAAAAATTAAACGTGATCAGTCGTCAAAATCAGTCGATTGTTTTTATCGTCTAACAGCAAATGTACATTTCATCGTCATGCACCAAAAATTACCGTTAACATCGATCATTTGGCAAGAATTTTGACCGTTATTCGTTAGGAAGGTACCCCCATTACGACCCTAATCTAGTCATTTCATTTGTTCATTGTTGGATTCTTTTCTTTGGGTTTCAGTTGTGCAACATAACAGGGCTGTTTTGAATATATTATAAAACTTTTCATAAAAAAAATGCAAATGTGGGGTGAACTATTTCAGCATACGGAGAAAGATATATCACATGTTTTTAATAAACATTTTGCTGAGAAAATAGGAAATGAGGTGGTGTATGATCCATAACAGGACAAATGCCACACAAAAAAAATCTATGAAAATTGTGTAAAAAATTTGAATCCAAAATGGGACATAAGAAAAAGCTAAAGAAATAATATTGATGTTTAAACATTTAAAAGGCAACATAAACATATGGTAGATCTGTAGTTGCATGCACCTCACACGAACAGTCTATAAAATCTGACTGTAGACACCGTCATATTTCCAGATCGACTCAAAGAAGACTAAATCACACCCTTACATAAAAAGTACCACCCAGTCAGTTTTGACCTTTTTTTCAAAAATTATTTGAAATACACTTACATGATATTTGATTCCAAATTTAATACTTACCTAAATGCTTTCCGTAGAGGGTATAGATCTCAGACTATGCTGCTAAGACTGGGGAGAATTCTTCGACAAACAAACTTTATTAGGCCACAGTATTCATTGATTTATGAAGTCTTACAGTTCGATTGTTAACTATTGGAAAAAATTATAAGCATATATGTGTATCACCACAATCAGTTTCTTTGATAAAATTCTATTTCTCCGACAGAAAATGATAAAATAAAGTAAACATGGATCTGAGTGGCTGTACAGCCTCAAAAAGGTGTATTCCAAGGTAAGATGTAAGTAATCCTTTTGTTTAATATCTTCATAAACGATATTTTGTTTTGTTTTGATATAAAACAGAGTACCTTGTATAATTATTCCGACGACAATACCATGTTTTTCAGCAGTCCTGATAATGACTCATGCATCTACATGACAAGCTGAGTCTCAAATGCTGATTTTATGGTTAAAGAATAACCGGTTAAAGAATAAGATGCAGGCAAATCCTGATAAAAGATACAATTCAGGTCCTAGCTGCAGGGTATATCACTTTTGAAAAAAAAAACAATCAATCACAATTCAGCAAATATTTTGTCACACAAAGAAACTGTCACGTTACTTGAAATTGATATAGATTACAAACGTCATTTTGATGTACATTTAAGTAACTTTTTGTGTAGCCTTCAGTCCCATTTTTATCTTTAATTGTAGAAAGGCGTCGCAACAGCTAAATGTTCTCAAGAGAATTGGATCATACTTTTGAATCAATTTAAACAAACTTACAATTTTCCATACCTTGATTTTCAGTAATTTTAATTTTTGTCCTTTGGTAAAATTAAAAAAAATATACAAGAGGGTCTGGATGGTTTACAGTATAGACAATAATGGACAACAAGTTCCGAATAAAGGGCAAACAGATAAAGAATGGAGAAAAATAAGGGAAAATTAAAGAATAGAGAATAATGGGAAGTTAAAAAATAAAGAAAAGAGAATAATGTCATGGCAAAATAACGGAAAACGAACTGACACTGTCATGGCAAAATAACGGAAAACGAACTGACAATGTCATGGCAAAACAACGGAAAACGAACTGGCAATGTCATGGCAAAATAACGGAAAACGAACTGACAATGTCATGGCAAAATAACGGAAAACGAACTGACAATGTCATGGCAAAATAACGGAAAACGAACTGACAATGTCATGGCAAAATAACGGAAAACGAACTGACAATGTCATGGCAAAATAACGGAAAACGAACTGACAATGTCATGGCAAAATAACGGAAAACGACAAAACGACAACAGTCTACAAAACACAACATATAAAACTAAACACTGAGCAACACGAACCCCATCAAAAACCAGGGATGATCTCAGGTGCTCCGGATTATAAACAATACAAGTTCGAACTTCCTCATATGGTACAAGATACTCTATTGTGCCAATCACCGTTACGGTGCCCATTACTGAGAAGAACAATGATCGTTATTAAAATAACATACAATATTTTGAACTAAATGAAATAACAAAATAATTGGTAATTAATGATTAATGATGTATGGTAAGAAATCTTGTCGTTTCGTAGCCGATTCTCTATTGACACAATTACCAGATCTCTTTAGGACTGAAAAGAGCTTCAAATAATTAAGATGGTTTTAGATGTCAATCAACCCTTGTAAGAGGGATTAATGATTGGGAAAAGCTCTTGATTCAAACGAATACATTGAAGCAATTCTTATAGATCTATCCAAAGCTTTGATTGCCTTCCACATGATCTACTTTTATTAGAATTTAAATCACAATTAACCTTAGATATGTTAAATAGTTACTTGTCAAAAAGAAAACAGTGTGTTAAAATTGGTCAAGACATATCAAGTATATTTTTTAGATAAGAGGTGTGCCTCAAGGGTTCATCCTTTGTCCTATATTATTCAATATCTTTATGTTTGTACACAAGTGTAATTTATATAATTATGAAGATGATAATACTTTTTTTTCAAAACCAGACGAGTGTTTATAAAAGGTTATTTCTTCTTTGCAAGAGGACAGCAAACCATTAATTAATGAATAAAATGCAGACCAATCCCGAAAAATTTCAAACTATTTCAATCGGTACAAAAACAAATGACAAAAAAGTGTTTAATTTGAATGATATTGATATTACATGTCAAGATGAAGTTATTCCTTTAGATGTCACCATGCATAGACTTCAAACTAAACTTTGATATACATATAAAAATATATGTAAAAACTCTGCAAGGCAATTGAATGTACGTAAGGTAGCTCGGGTGTCTTCCTTCATCTTGGATTGTAAAATAGCAGAAAACAATCGGTCTAGATATTAAATGAAATGTGCAAATTTCGAGACGAGAATGCAATTCATTTGTAAGAATTTTCATATCTATACAGAAATTATGTATTTTATCATATTTTTACGACTGCATTTTATACAAATAGAATATGTTTTGTTTGATTCAATGTTTTTCAACTTTGCCATATAAAGGGAGATAACTCAGATAAAGTAACTATTATAAGGGAATGCGTTATGAATATAACCATGATAACTATTTTATTACGTAGCAAGAGTCCGTGACCCCAATTTTTCTTTTTTTTCCTTTCTGAAAGCATATTAAAAGAGCAATCTTCTCATATTTTATCTTAAAATTCTATGGTTTAGTTTTCTTTTTATCACACAAAATTGGGTTTTACATGCATAATCTATACACAATTTGATAATTTGCACAACCTGTAGCGTGAAAAACAGCCCGGTGACCCATACTTTTTATCATTTATTTTTGAAAAAAGCATTATGTAAACTACATTTCGGCAAATTATTAAAACATTCTATGGATTTTAATTTAGACCCCCCCATCTACCTTAAGGGGAGAGAGCAACATTCGAACCGTCTAGAAACCCAACTATTTATCTTTCTCTTATTATGTCAAATGTTAGTTACTGTCCGCTCACTCGCTTACTTGGCATTTGTGTGTGTGTGTGTGGGGGGGGGGGGGGACAAAATACTAAGAACATTCGGAAAAAGTAAGAATTGACTCTTCGTTTTGTTTATAATGATTTCGAAACCACTTATGAAAAATGACTTGAAAAATCAAAAATTATCTGTTGCTTTGGAGACAAATACAATAATACAAAAAAAGTCGTCAAATTTTAAAAATTCCAGCTGTGAGGCAGCGCAATTTTGGATACACCTCATTTGGCTAAGTTAAAAATAAAATTGTTTCTGTTGTGCCTGTGAATACAAATTCTGCTGACTCATGTCTGAATTTTATGATTTCCTGCTTTCTGCAATTTCTGTTTTTAATCTTGCTTCCTGCTTTACGATACATGCTTATAATATTGTCGCCATGCATTGCTATATGCTTTATATAATAGAGCTTCCTGTGTTGTGAATTTTAAAATTTACTATAACCTCATTGCTTTGTTTGACAAATAAAAGTTAGTTTTGTGCTTTTGTGACATTTTAAAGGTGATTCTGATCCATACTCTGTTTAATTTCAATCTGATGCTTATTTTTATCTTTTATCTAATGTTGATGCGAGGTTCTTGATTGGGTTTAAAGATAAAGAAAAATGCCCTAAATTTAAAGATACGGAAATTAACAACCCACACCAGACCCTCTTTATTGTGCTTATCTTATTTTAAAATAATATATCCTTATGTGTTTATACCTATGTGTACTTTTCTTAGTTTAAAATTTATTTACTAGTACTTACTTATTTACTTATTTTAAGTCTAGTTCAGACCTGCGGCTCTTTTCACAAAAAACCTTAAAAGTAAAAATACTAGTAAGTCATACACATTTCAGTATAACTTACGATCAATTTTAATCGCAAGATATTTTGTGAAAAGAGTCGCTGGAGTGTTTCTGACAGTTGTTGCCCTCTTAGCAGATAATACATACTTAGTATTCAAGCATATGTTTCTTAACTAGCTTTCATTGCAATCCAATCTTTTTGGTTTCATTATGCTAGCTGGTCACCTTATATTCGATTCACATAGGAGCGCTTGCCTCTATTTGTATGCCTTCAAAAAAAAAATAATTTGTTATGCTGTTTTACAACTTGAATGTGTAAGATCACAACTCTTCTTAAGGATGTTCGCTCCTCTTGTTTTGAAATTTTGCCAGATACTCGGAATCCTCTGGTTTTATCCATGTAGTGCCAAAAATATTTGCCCACTAACCCCTACTTTTCTTTTCATAATTTGATAACATATAGTTTAAAATGCAATCTTTGAAAATCTTATTAAATCCTTGTTATTTTTTCATACTTTTTGGCAGAAAAAAGGGGCCAATGTTAAATGTAGAAAAATCTAGAGAGAATCATTTCCCGCCAAATTTTCAATGGCTTATATCTCGAAAACAAGCTCACGGACCCTTCATTTTTTTCTGCTTTTATAGTTCCTTTATTTATATACTATCAATTTATAACGGTCTTTTTAAAAGCTTGTTATTTTGAAGCAGAGTAGCGAACATCCTTAAAGAAAATTGTGTTCGGTGTAAACTAAACTGCATACCAACGAGAAGTAGCACATCAGTTTCTAGAAAAAATGAGAGATATATCTAGGAGGGGTGTAAAGGGGGGGGGGGGGGTTATCTGCACGGAAGAACGCGAAATAAAATTGCCATTTCACGATGAACGAACAATTAAAAATTTCATGTACGTTGATCTTTTTATCGATTTCACGAAACACGGTAAATAACGAACCTTTTTCACGACTGCACGTGAAATAAAAATGGCAAAACACGTTGCACGAAAATAACCCTTTACCACCCTCATCTAGAGACGAGACGAGATACCGACTAATCGATTCGTTTCGGTAAGAAGTAAATTGCCCTGAACACAAGTTTTCGATAAACTTACCGATCCAGGTATGGGTTCCACCATGTATAGAGGCTGTTTACCTTTTGTTTTACTAAGAGTCGACGACCGCCAATGTGTAATTTTCAATTCTCCGTGTGGAATTTTTAAGTTGTTAAATCGAAGTGTTTTTTTTTTTTAAATCTCAATTTTTTTTTCGAAATTTAGCGTAAACATAGTTTGGAGAGAAAGCCTTGAAATATTTATTTAAAAAAAAAAAGAATAAACAATACCATATCTAAGAAAGTTTAAATTCAGACTACATCGTTTGTTCATCGTTGAATACTACATAGTGACCTCTACACTGACATACAATTGTACTTAGCAATGTATTGTTTTGGTTGATCTCTCACTAAATTTGATCTCATTTCACTTTACAACATCATAGTTTATTTCAATTGTTGACATAACTAATAAATGATAATTAGAAGAAAATTTTCTAAAACAATGATTTTCGATTCGGGAACATGTCACGATCCAGACATTCGTCTGCAAAGATAAGGTGGAAATATATATATATATATATATAAGATCTGACTTCCTATCTCGACCAGACATTCGGATTGTACATTTACCAACCATGGCGGCGATATTGTTATGCTTGCTTTCTCTGATGATTTCAGTAAATGCTAAATATACTTCTTTGCAGTGGAGCAAATGTGGTAAGTTATTTATTCATTAGTGGGGCAGGAAAAGCTTACCCTTCAGAAGGGTCTGGATAAGGGGAGGGGGTGGGGTCCTTCGATCTGTATTCTTTTAAAGTTTTTGGTCATTTTTCTGTATTCTTTATATGTTTTGCCCATCATTCTCTATTCTTTATATTTAAGCACCCATTGTTTTCTATTCTTTATTTTTTTGCCCTGTTTTTCTCTATTCTTAACTTTTTTGCCCTTTATTCTGCACATTTTGCCCAGTATTCTCTATTCTGTATAACCAATCCAGGCCCTCCTACACGAGAACTTTGGTTCTTTGTAGTGGAATACATTAGGTTAGTTACTTATTCAAATGTGGAATAGGAACTGTCAATCCAGAACAGCGGAGTAAATGAGGGTGTGGATGGGGGTTTACAGAATAAAAAAATAACAGGCAAAAAATAAACTTGAAGAAAAGAGAAAAATGGACAAAAAAAAAGAATAGAGAATAATAATGAGGTGCTAAAATATAAAGAATAGAAGATAATGGGCAAAAAGTATAAAGAATAGAGAAAAATTGCCTTAAAAATTAAAGAATACAGAAATGGAGGACCCCCCATCCAGAACCTCGTAAATGTGATAAGATAAGTACTAATTCCATGGATTTAAATGTTTTGATCGCAAAACTAAAAGTCTTTTTTCTCTACTATATTGAATCTTTTTAATTTGCTTTGGTGTCTGACTGTAAAGAAGAAAAAAACTTTTCTTTTCACATCCACGCAATTTGATCTCTGGTGGACAGTTGTCTCATTGGCAATCATACCACATCTCCTTATTTTTGTACATGTATTTTGATTCCCTTTTCCCTTGCTCAGATCCTTTATTTTATTTGATGGTGTCGGTCCTTTTTGTTAACATTCCTTGTTTTGGTTGTAAGGTCGGTGCCTTTTTGTTTTCTCTAAACCTAGACTATTTAGTTTGACAAGGACATACTTTTTACCTTGATTGATCTGACGGGCCCAGTTCTACTTATATTGTTCTCCTTGTTTAATAAAAGCTCACCAAGGATTTGTTTTTACACAGCCGTATTTTTTTTAATTGAATGTCTCTTTTTGTGACCTTATTTCCGTTGTATAGATTGACTAATACACACACTTAAACCGAAATGATCTGGCAAACTCGAAATGAGAACCACTTGCTTCACAGTAGTACATTACGAGTAAAACTTACACAAAGTTGACTATCTGTAAAATGGCAACCTGGAAACAAGAACCACTTGCTTCACAGTTGCACATTACGAGTAAAAGTACATATAAAAGTTGGCAATCTGTAAAAAATGGCAACCTCGGGAAGCGAACTATATATATACATACTTTCTTCACAGTTGTACATTACGAGTAGAAGTACACATGAAAGTTAGAAATCTGTCAAAAAAAGGCAATCTCGAGATGAAAACCGCTTGCTTCACAAATGTACATTACCAGTAAAAGTACATATGAAAGTTTAAAATCAGACAAAACATATAGCACTCTTAGGAATTTGTTCTCCCGAAAAGAAAACAAAAGTTTTTATTGGCCATGGTGCACATTTGATTGACACATCCCCTTATAATCTACAACAAGTATTTGACAACAATCTCTTTGTTCAGTTATATATTCGGAGATGAATCCCATTATAGTTTATATTCTTGTGAAGGGGAGACAACCAATAACTTCCATGCTTAGGCCGTTAGTTTTCTCAATTGAATTGTTTCGTGTTTTTAGGTCGGGGCCTTTTGTAGCCACTATACCGTATGGGTTTTTCTCATTGTTGAAGGCCGTACGTATACGGTTGCCTATGATTGCTGACATCCACGTCATTTGAACTTGGGTGGATAGTTGTCTCATTGGCAATCATGCCACATCTCCTTATTTTTATATTAGTCAAATTATGGGTATGAGTAAGGGAATGCACATGTTATAACACGTGACAATCTGTAAGCAGATAATGAGTATATTTATAATTATGTTGTAAAACACAATTTTAAGTAAGTTTTTTTTCCAATCTGGCATTGTTTAAAAGTCTATACTCCGTTCCATGCTGTCAAATCTGTACATGTATAACCTGTATATACGCCTTGACATAATTGTAACATTATCTTAAATTAAGCAGCAAGATGTGATAATATAAGACATGAGATAGGACAGGATCTTGTCTTATTTTTCATATTATCTTATCATCATTTGTCGTACTTTTACACTAGTCTGACTTAGTTGTGAAGTGTTCACCGAAAAACATCTTTTGAGCATGCATGAGTTGCAATGTCCATATAAAAATAAGAAGATATGAAGATAAGAGACATTGCCAATGAGACAACTCTCCACCAGAGACCAAATGTCATAGAAGTTAACAACTATAGGTCAACGTACGGCCTTTAACAATGAGCAAAACCCATACCGCATATACAATGTATATGCTATATAAGGCCCCGAAATGAAAAATGTAAAACAATTCAAACGAGAAAACTAACGGTCTGATTTATGTACAAAAAAGAATGAACGAAAAACAAATATGATTTACAACAACAAACGACAACCACCGAATTACAGGATATTGTAATTTGTTTTTCCAATCTGGCCTTTTTTAAATGTCTATACTCCATTCCATGCCGTCAAATCTTTACATGTATAACCTGTATGCACCTTGACATAATTGTAACATTATCTAAAATTAAGCAGCAAAATGTTAAAATATAGGACATGAGATAGGACAGGATCTGCTTTTATTCTTCATATTATCTTATCATCATTTGTCGTACTTTTACACCAAGTCTGACTTAGTTGTGAAGTGCTCACTGAAAAACATCTTTTGAGCATTAGTTGCAATGTCCATATGAAAGTAAGAAGATGTGGTATGATTGTCAATGAGACAACTCATCACCAAAGACCAAATGCCATATAAGTTAATAACTATAGGTCACAGTACGGCCTTCAACAATGAGGAAAACCAATACCACATATATATACTATATAAGGCCCCGAAATGAAAAAAATGTACTATTCAAACAAGAAAACTAACGGGCTGATTTATGTATAAATCAATGAATGAAAAACAAACAAACGACAACCACCGAATAACAGGCTCCTGACTTTTTCTTATTGTGAGAAGCTAAAATCTTAATGGACCTAACAAGAAGATATAAACAAAGACAACACCTGGATTGTACCCGTTGACTTTGGATATCATCAGTAACAAGTTGTGGATTATTATCCGTTTATTGTTATATCATACATAAGTCTGTTGGTTTTCTCGTTTGAATTGTTTAACGTTTTGTCATGTCAGGGCCTTTATAGCTTACTACAGGGTACGGGATTTGTTCATTGTTGAAGGCCGTATGATGAACCACAGTTGCTTACATCCAAGTAAGTTTGTCTCTGGTGGATAGTGATACCATTGGCGATCACATCATAGATCTTTAATCTATACAACATTAGTATTTTTTAGTTACCCTTGGTCATTAGAAAAAAATGGAACTTATGATAAAAATTAAGTTATATAAGCTCATTGTTATCGATATTACAGACACCAAAAACCATTTCAATCTCTCGACATATCCATTCGGAACATTTTGAGTGGGATTTCTGAACACTTTCCGTAAAACTACAAGACAAACAAACCCTTCTTGTTTTTTAATGCTTTTTTATTCTAATCTAATTTCTATATTTGTTACGTTGCATTTTGTAATAAGTCAGCGAGTATTATATATATATATAATATAATCCCGGCCAGGGAAGAACAATAAATTTGCTTCCGCAAATTTACAGATCTAACATTGTTGGGCTGTTATTTAGACGAATTATATATATATATATATATATATGTAACACCCGACCACCGAAAGCTTTATTATTATAGAGCCTAGGTGGTCGAGTGGTCTAGCGCGTCGGGCATAGTGCAAGGCGATTTGGTGCCACGATTTCTCAGTAGCATGAGTTCGAATCCCGGCCAGGGAAGAACAAAAAATTTGCTTCCGCAAATTTACAGATCTAACATTGTTGGGCTGTTGTTTAGACGAATTATATATACAGAATGTATTTGCGGGAACCCCTGAGGGTTCACACATATACATTAATTGATGTTGTAGTCTTTCGGAATACCGGAAATGCCTACTATCTTTTCGGAATACATCTGTTCTTTTCTATGGCCACCTGCGTAATAGGTAATGAATTGATCTAATGAATATGTATTAGCGTCCAACAGTTGCTATAGAGATAAGTGTTCATCGAGACTGATTGATATCGTACATCAATAGCTAATTAAATTAGAGTCGCATATGTTAAGGTTTCTGAAATACAAGCTGTGTTCACATTGGAGATCAAGTAAATTTGAAGCGAAAAAAGTGACGGTCAATGGATAGGGCGTTTTTACGATTTTCAAACAGCCATTTTAGCGAAATTAAAAACGAGTAAGTCCATTTAAGCAGCAATTAAAATTCTACGTCCAGGAAGGATTGGAACAATCAAGGTGTTTCTAAAATTGTTCCTATTTTGATTAAAATAACAAAAACGGAATTATTATAGTCACATATTATTTAACTGGTAAAATATTGGAAAAAAAAAACAAATTAAAACAAAATGAAATTAAAGAAAAGAAAAACAAACTGAACCTTAAAGAATCGTTGAGTTGTGTAAAATGCAGATATAAGATGCTACAACAAACTTTTTATTTCTTAATATATTTTAGCGGTATATTGAATGACAATTCTGAAAGAATAAGTAAATGTTTGGGCTTGTTGTTTGTGATGTCGTATAACAGAAAAAAATATTATGCAATAGCAGTGGTGAAATACTAATACAGAGTCAGAAATAAAATAACGAATGTCCTTTATAGAGACTGAGTGATGATAGATACAGTCAGAGATAAGATAACGAATTTTTATTTATAGTAATTAAGGCTCTACATTTTTATCAAACTTAAATATAAATAAGGAAACAAAAGCAATAATTATAATAAATGACAACGCTATGAAATCAGGTAGTTAGTTTTCTCGTATGAGTTGTTTAACGTTGTCATTTCGGGGCCTTTTATAGCTTACTATGCGGCATGGGTTTTGCTCATTGTTGAAGGCCGTACTGTGACATATAGCTGTTAACTTCTACGTCACTTGGTCTCTAGTGGAGAGTTGTCTCATTGGAAAACATACTACATCTTCATTTTTCTACTTAAAGAAACCATACTTAATCTTATTTAAAAATACAAGTTAACTCTGGAAATTACGACGAAATTTAAAGGCAGCTTTTATGTGTGATAAATGCAGAAATTACACGTCACATCGAAACAGTTCATAAATGAATATGCGTTTGAGTCCTTAAAATAATTCTAAAGATATGAAAAGATTTACAGACACTGAGTGATTTTCTTTGGAGTTGAGGCGATAACTCACTATTTATTTAAAACTTATGGTCAATGAAATAAAACAAATTGAGGTTTGATATATTCCTCGATGTTTGACATTGAAAACTATCATAAATTACTACCGGTATGTGGTTTGCGAGGATAGATTAGCATTTGTCCAAAGACTTAAAATAACAGGAAGATGAGTATTATCTATTCATAATTCTTTTATGAAATTAGAGATGCGTATGTTAAATTTCTTTAGAAAAATGTGTGAGTTTTCCAAATGGCACGTGTGTCGACTTCCCTCTCCAAAACAAATAGTTATAAATGGCAAAGTGAATTCTTTTGTTTTCGGTATGTGAAACAACCCAACTCCCCCTCAAAATGAAATCAGATTAAAAGTTGAAGCAGCTGGTGCACAACTTCATGTCCCACCTAAAGAAGAATCAGTGCAAGTTTTTGGGAATTCCGTCAATTTGTTTTCAAGGAGTCGAGCCAATATGTAGTCAAAAGCGAATTTAGAGGGTCTAGTTGACAGAGGTCTAGAGCGTGTTTGGCGACAACTTAGTACAAAATTATTTTTCTTAAAATCAATATCCGTATAAAACGAAATGTTTGAGCAAACGGATTCAAGTATAAAGTTGAGGTTTCAAATTGTTTCTACTCTAAAAGTCTGTTTTGAGTTTGTTGCCTGGGGTATAAATAAATTGAGATCAAGCATATCTCGGATATGATAGACAAAGACCAAACCATATAAACCAGTGTAATTGATTTTCCAAAACGGTCTTAGTTCGGAATAATCAATTAACAAATATCGGAATATAGCTTAGGGTTTTGAACTATTTTCAAACTGGCTACAAACAAATAATCATGATTCATTTCATAAACTTCTTCAAAACAAAGACTGTTTTCACATTTACATTTCGACTTTAGCCAGGAAGCTACCTCTAATTTCCAAAATAGCACCCAGAATGGAACAAACAGTGGTTGCCTCTTATTTAGCATGTTGTACAATCTAATTTAAATATAGAAGAGATGTGTTTTCGTTATCCTCGTATGCTTATATGTACGAGCACGCGAGTTAAGATAGATCTAAATTTTAATCAGATTGCATGTTGCAATGTTACCTATCGGAAGAGAGAGGGATGCGAGAGAGAGGGATGCGAGAGAGAGAGAGAGAGAGAGAGAGAGAGAGAGAGAGAGAGAGAGAGAGAGAGAGAGAGAGAGAGAGATATTATTTCTTAAACAAGAAAATTATACCCCACATAGAATAGCATCCATATCAGTTTTTCTACATTTTATATTAAAAAAGGTAAAATTATGCTTCTTTATGTACCAATTATCTGATCGTTCATGCTAAACAGGCATTTAGGTTCACGATTACATTTCTTTGTTTAAAGAAAGCAACTTGTTTCAGCCTTGTATCACCATCACTGCTGGTGATCCGATGGATAAAATCTGTTGTAGAGTCGTCACTGGTTCTCTGAGCCTAGGCGATCGAGTGGTCTAGCGCGTCGGGCATAGTGCAAGGCGATTTGGTGCCACGATATCTCAGTAGCATGAGTTCGAATCCCGGCCAGGGAAGAACAAAAAATTTGCTTCCGCAAATTTACAGATCTAACATTGTTGGGCTGTAGTTTAGACGAATTATATATATATATTTTTTGGTCTTTTGAAAAATGTTGTTTGTGCTGTATTTAGACCCCTCTACCAAGAAATTTGTTTTGCATGCACACGTATATCATAGGTTTGAACGTTCTTTTCAATTTAGACTTGTATATATATATATCAGCAGGGTTTAAGGACATCAGTTCTTCGACCTGCTAGTCAAATGCGTTTTGTTAAAATATACTTTTTCACTCATTTGATCTTTTGGAAAATGTTGTTTGTGCTGTATTTAGACCCCTCTACCAAGAAATTTGTTTTGCATGCACACGTATAAAAATTGCGGTTTTTATCCAACGCAATCATAGGATAGAACGTTGTTTTCAATTTAGACTTGTATATATATATATATATATATATATATATGTATAATGCTAGGCGGTGTTGTCGTAGAAGTTAGAAATAAAAAGTACAGGTTCCAGCCCCGCTTGGGGAGGAAGTAAAGAAACAGATCTACTCTTACATCTTTAGGTTGATTTTCTAGGCACTTTATATAATGACTGATATATATATATATATATTAAAAAATCCAATGCAAGCCCATTTTTCTACAGATTTAATGGATTGGTCCAGGATTTCCAAAAAAGGGATCCCACAAAAAAAATGGTGGTTTAAAAAAAACCCAGAAAAACTTAAAAATAAGTTTATAATTCTTATATCGACTTTGAGCGTTTCTGATGAAGGTGAATTCAGAAAAGCGCTTCGGACGCATACAATTAACAAAGTGTTATTTGCATCTTTTATAAAAGTGTTATTAATGTTTTCAGGAGCTACTCTGAAATCGAACCCACCTCTAGCACTTGGAAGTGTAAGCGTAACCCCAGTACCAATAGTGATCCCAGGCGACATGACCTTATCAATCAACGGGAGTCTCACACGAAGTGTTTCCAGTTCTTCTCTGACAATCTCGTTAAAGAGGAAAACGTTCTTGTTGGATATCCCGATTCCGTGTATTTCGCATGTCGGTTCTTGGTTTGTATTTCTTATTTCTTCATAATTGACATTTTGTGAGAGAAAAAAAAGAGGCTGAAGATACCTTGAGTTACCCCTTGGTTTTTAAACTTGTTCTAATTTATAATACTTTTTGGGAAACTTCAAAAATTTTGGAAAGCAATATTTTTCCTAAAATAACTAACATATTTAATGGTTAAATTAACTGTTTTATAATCGAGTTTGGTTGGAATGACAAAAGCAGATGTTTTTTTTTTCGCATTTAAGAGGGTCTGGATGCAGTATACAGAATAGAGTATAATGGACAAAGACTTCAGAAAAATGGGCAAAAAATAAAAGAAATAGAGAAAAATAGGTAAAAAAAAAAACGAATAGAGAATAATGGATTGCTAAAATATAAAGAATATAGAGAATGATTGGCAAAATAAATAAAGAATAGAGAAAAATGACCTTACCATTATAGAATAAAGAAAGGAAAATCGGTCCAAATCCAAACCCTCTTTTGAAGAATATCTCAGAATACGAGATTTAAATAGGAATGGAAATATGGCGGCTGCAGTTTAAACGGCTGCGTAATAAACTTTTGTATAATACTTCACTTGTAGAAGAGCTGCACATATATAATATTATACTAGAGTGGATCAGAGTGAAATATCCCGGTTAATCATGCAAATTGAATGGTTACCTTAAGGTATAGAACCACTAGTTCAGGCCCATGTCGGAAAGAACATACAAGAAAGAAGTACATATTTTAAACAAAATAGTTCCTACGCATAGCTGTATCTTTGTCAATAGTGGGAATATTTGGGTAGTGCTAGTATCAAATGAAAGCTTGGGGACTTGGGGTCACTGTAGAACCCTTGTTGAAAGTTTTATTTGAATAATAAAGAAGTATAGGAAATTTTAATAGGAGGGCTCATTTGGCCTGTTGTTCAGATCAGAAGTTCCTGTTTTTGTACTATCAAACTTCCGGGAACCAGTACGCTCTAATATGCAATTAAAGGTATGTTGATTTTTTCAGCACAATTCAGCATAAGGTACAGTTTTGACATGAAATAACTGCCACTTTATTTGAACTTAAGATAAAGTAGCCATTTATGCTTGAAATTGCAGAATTTAACATAGAAAGCAATGGGGCTATAAATTAGTGGTTTTATACCTAAACAAGGGATATTAGCCCATATCTCCTATGAAGGAAAGCAATGATAAAATGGTAATTAGCGTTGAAATCTAAACACTTTAGTATAATTGTTATTCAGGCTTCACAAGGGATATTGGCTCCGTATTCCTTCTCGGTATCCTTTATCCCCATCTCCTGGCGACTCGGGAGATATAAAACACCGACAGGGAATATGACACCATATCCCCTGTGAAATCCCGAATAACCATGATTTAATACATAAACAGATGTGTAGTTATGTGGATTGTGTGTCTGTTTGTTTGTGTTTTTTAAAAGGTTTGTTATCTTCGGCTTATAGTTTTAAATTGATCCTTTGTTTTTTTGTCTTTCTTTAAAACACAACTTACCCGAAGGGTTGATTTGTATGAACATTTCGACTTCTTCCGTTCAAGCAGTAAAACCCTAGCTAAAGTGGGGCGTCGGTTTGACTGTACGGGATGTATAAATTCGCAGCCACTTTCGTTAAATTTAATACCTCGTGTAAGGTGAATGTCTCTGCACCTTAAACATGTGAAAGATTTCTTGCACCAACTCTCTGAGTGGTCCGTGTGGGTGTTGCAAGGCAAATTGCATACTCTTATCCAACATATCATTATTTTTCAGTAGCGGTGAAAATTTCCCGCCTTTTCTGTACATCCCAATTGAACACACCTTGTTATATTTGTCCTGAATATGCATGAAATAATTGCAACAGGACGATAAGCAATCAACAATCAATGTAATCAATCGGTTAACTTACAATTGAGACTCAGAAATTATGTGGTTCATAAGTGTTTCTCGTTTCTCGTATTTTATATAGATTCGACAATTGGTTTTCCTTTTTGAATTGTTTTACACTAGTCATTTTGTGTTGAACAAAATTGAGAATGGAAATGGGGAATGTGTCAAAGAGACAACAACCCGACCATAGAGCAGACAACAGCCGAAGGCCACCAATGGGTCTTCAATGCAGCGAGAAAATCCCGCACCCGGAGGCGTCCTTCGGCTGGCCCCTAAACAAATATGTATACTAGTTCATACTAAACTCCAAATTATACACAAGAAACTAAAATTAAAAATGAATGCAGATACAAGACTAACAGTACGCACAGTAAAACTCAGTTTAAGAGAAGTCCGAGTCCGATGTCAGAATAGGAAACAAAAGAAAAGAAAATAAATCAAATGACAATAATACATAAATAACAACAGACTACTAGCAGTTACTGACATGCCAGCTCCAGACCTCAATTAAACTGATTGAAAGATTATGTCTTCATCATATGAATATCAGGCACAATCCCTCCTGTTAGGGGTTTAGTATTATACCATCATAAAATATATGAGAAGAACATAACCCGTGTCATGAAGGCTTTTGACTTTTTACACATTGTGACTTGGATGAAGAGTTGTCACTCATGCCACATCTTCTTATTTCTATTATACCTTTTTTTCTATATAAGGTTAACAAAATAAATTAAAGTCCTATTTCCTGCCTCTCTACTTACAATAAATGTTCACCATTATGGACATTTTTGGTTAAACACTGTTTCTGTCCAAACATAGGTCCAGACATTATTGGTTATAAGCACTGCTTAAGTACACAACATTTCTCTATTTAGTCAATGTAAAATATCAAAACAAAAAATGGAAAAATCTCTACATACCAACCTTTTTTTCTTCCAGGGGACAGCAAACAAGCATACGGTTGCCTATAATTGATTACACCCACTTCATTTGAACTTTGGTGGATAGTTGTCTCATTGATAATCATACCACATGTCCTTATGTTTTGCTATGTTTGTATTACAGTACATACAAGGATATTTGTACCATGGTAGATGATATGGTCACCCAAAACTGGGCAGGAATTATGGGAGGAATAGGAACGCAGATTAAGGCCATGCTAGCCAAAAGTGGTGTCACATATAATGCATGTCCACAACCAGCTCAGGCTCTAAATATTAACAGCTACAGTCTCCACATTCCTGAAATGCCAAAGATTCTTTCTTGGTTTGCAGCGGTAATCATTCATTCTATTTATAGACCATTCTATTTTAACCAACAGCTACGACATCCACATTCAAGACATCAGCAATTATTATAATACAAGTTAAATATTATCTATAACAGCTATTATTGACATGCTCATTACTGTCTATAGGGAAAACGGTACTATTTATTCTGCCATAGGCGACAATACTAACATTTTCTAAATTTATCACTTTTTACAATAAAAACCTGGATAAAACAGTTATGTGTGGTGTTAGTACTTTATTATTCTGTTTTAAAAATTGAAGCCAAATAGTATCATGACCAATTTCCAACGGAGCTTGTTTATGTTATCCATGCCCACCGTCATTTTATACTAAATTATGAAATTTTGGAAGTCTTTTCGACTAATTCCCTAGAAAATATTTCAATAGGTTTCAAAATTTATATTGCAAATATACACACTGCAGTTATTCATAGATAATTAAAAAAATGTATTGTACCCTTACATCCAATCACAGCGCTCCTAAGTCGACTTCCTTCACCTGCCTTGGGTACAAAAGGCCAACCTAATGCTGGGAAAATGTAATAGTACCGTTTTCCCTATACTGTGACATGAAGATATAAAGAATTCTTATGACACCATTAATGCAATACTGGCTTATTGTGAAAACCTTGGCTATAATAAATACTTGTATGTCCCCATTACTTAAAGAAACATGGATCATTTTGTGTCCCCACCCCTACATGCTGGTTTACCTCTTTCTCTACTTCTTTCAAATAAGGCTTAATAAACAACCTGTATCCAATCATATCTTATCTTATTTAAAAAGAATAATAAACAGTTCCATTTAAACAGATAAAAATGACAGTTCCATTCAATTTGTATTCATTTTATCCAAAATTTACAACATAAGCACAAATTCAAGATTTTTCATACTAATCTCCATTCCATGCTTTAGTATATGCCATATTGTGGTTCAAAATTTCAGAGCTTGTTATAAAATTCATTATTCTGTCTTGAGATGATGAAAACAAAGATATTAGACACTTTAAGCATTAGTTATGGAAAATACTCAGCTTTAAAGTTGCCTTTGTTGCCTGTATTAATCTATGAAAAAGCTGAATTATGTCCCTTGGGAGTATTAATTTCCAACAAAAGTTCTTTCAAATAGTAGAAAATGAAAAATTATATATGCCTGATATAATAAAAGCTAGAAACTACAAAATGAAGCATTATTGAAATATTTGCTGCCTGAATTGCCAAGAATGTGAACAATTCTTTACACAGGAGAGTATAACTTCTATTTAAATTTAGCCTCAAGTGGGCCTCTTTTTTTCTTAGATGGACAATTTCAACACTAAAAATGCTTCTAGTATGACCAATTATTGCCTCACTCCATAAACAGTACAAACTTAACCAGACAAATTACCATTTTAATAGATTATGTCTACAGAAATACCCAAGTGATACATTTAGGGAATTACACAACAAAAAAGTCAAATATTTCAGTTAAAAATATTTGTCGCGACTTAAATTCTGGTGTTTCCAATTGAATTAATCATTGCGAAAGGTGAAAACAAATACAAAAGAACTATAGTTTGGTGCATTTCATACAATATAGTTAATATTGAAATCCTAGAATAAAGTTTTATATCAGTACCCATCAATTTGACTTATTATGATGACTCAGCACTTTTCTTAACACAATATTGTTCTCAGTGAAAAATTTCTATTCTTTGTGATAAAAATCAAATGTACTAATTAAAAGCTTCAAAATAGTATAATATAACTGAAGTCTGATTGATTTTGATTTCCCTGGCCATCTTCAGTATAGGGAAAACGGTACTATTTATTCTGCCATAGGCGACAATACTAACATTTTCTAAATTTATCACTTTTTATAACAAAAACCTGGATAAAACAGTTATGTGTGGTGTTAGTACTTTATTATTCTGTTTTAAAAATTGAAGCCAAATAGTATCATGACCAATTTCCAACGGATCTTGTTTATGTTATCCATGCCCACCGTCATTTTATACTAAATTTATGAAATTTTGGAAGTCTTTTCGAATAATTCCCTAGAAAATATTTCAATAGGTTTCAAAATTTATATTGCAAATATACACACTGCAGTTATTCATAGATAAATAAAAAAATGTATTGTACCCTTACATCCAATCACAGCGCTCCTAAGTCGACTTCCTTCACCTGCCTTGGGTACAAAAGGCCAACCTAATGCTGGGAAAATGTAATAGTACCGTTTTCCCTATAGCTATATAGAAAGTAAAAACGTTTTGGAAATTTTACATCCCGTCTTCAAATGGTAAACAGAAACAATTACAAACTATGAGGGGCCTGATGGGGGGGGGGGGGGGGGGGGGGGGGGGGTCTCATCACGATTCACGAGTTGATTTTTTTGTCAATCACGATTCACAGAAAATAAATTTCCATGATCACGGATCACGAAAATATAAAAAAAAAAATCTGTAGAAAAACGGATCACGATAGCGAAAATGCGCCGATCACGAAGAACGAAAATAACCCATCAGGCCCCTCAACTATAGGAACTATATTTCATGTTTTATAATTATAATTAAATCCCGAGTGTTTAGTTCAAACCTTGAGTAATCAGTACTTAAGCGCTTTTAGTTTCATGAATTTGAAAATCCAAATTCAAATTCAAATAATTTTATTGGTGTAAAATCCAAATATTGGATTGTATAACTAAAACAAACATTACAATATTAAAAAAACATTCAAAATTCAGAGTCAACATTCATGTTATATAAGTTAATCATATATTTAAATTTTTAGAGGATCTGATACTTTTGAAAATTTGATTGATATAAAAATACAAATTCTGAAAGAGATTGTTATATATGCATATATAAGATATAACAAAACAAATATATATGTAGTCCACTTCATTTGAACTTTGGTGGATACATGTAGTTGTCTCACTGGCAATATTGCCACATCTCATTACCTTTATAATAAAGACAAAATTTAAAAAAAAATCACTAAGTATTACATTATTCTAGTTTTTCTTGTCAGCTAGGCTATTTCAAAGTACATATAAATCATTAACCCCTGAATAATACATTACACGAGGATATTGATTTCAATTTATCCAAAATAGAAAAAGCTGGAATTAATTCACTTTGGGTTTTTATTATTCTATTACAGGGTGACTATCATGCACATATCGAAGTGAACGAGAATTCTTCAGGGGAACAGATTCTGTGTCTTGATGCTGATTTGACCGTTGATCATGCGTGCTCCGGATTTGGATGTATATTTGGATAATAAACTAAAATAAAGGTTATTGATAACTAAATTTTGTTTATTTCTTTTTACTTAGTATAAGTGTTTGATGATCTCACTTTTAAAATTTATATGAATAAAATAAAAGGTGCGATATACGTCGACGATACACGTGAAATCCAACAACACCAATAAATGAGGGTCTGGGGGGCCTCCATTTTTGTACTGTTATATTTTTTGCCCATTATTCTCTATTCTTCATACTTTTTGCCCATCATTCTCTATTCTTCATACTTTTTGCCCATCATTCTCTATTCTTCATACTTTTTGCCCATCATTCTCTATTCTTCATACTTTTTGCCCATCATTCTCTGTTCTTCATACTTTTTGCCCATTATTCTCTGTTCTTTTTTTAGCACCTCAATATTCTCTACTCTTTATTTTTTGTCCATTTTTCACTATTCTGTAAACCCCAATCCACACCTTCGTAAGAGAGGCGATAGAAACAAAAGAGATGGTCAAACTCATGTCAAAAACGAACTGACAATGCCATTTCAAAACACCAAACACTACCAATAGGACAGACAACAACCTACAAAACACAACGTGGAAAACTAAAGACTAAGCAACACGAACCCCACAATAACCTAAAGAATTCCACATACAGTTTATAACAAGAGACGGATATCACTCTGTATTAACCATAGTGCTCCAGCCTCGTCGATTACGTTTACTTAGTGGATTTAGGATGTAGTTATATATTACGACATAGAATGTCGTTATTTCCAAAAAGGATGTAGTTATCATGGTTATTACCACAGGCACTTGTCTCAGAAAAAAAAATCCAATATACCTTAATGTTATATTAAGGTATATAGGATTTTTTTTCTGAGACAAGTGCCTGTGGTTAAACAACTTTTATACAAAAAAATAAATAATATTATTTAATTATTTTTTTCAAAATAAAATTTGAATAAAATAGCACAATGATGAGAAAGTTGACATGAAACCATTAGCATCGACCCTAATATATAATATTAGTTATCCCGGCGAAGTGATGTAAAAAAAGTATTTCTTAAACATTTTTATCACAATTATGTTGTAATCTTTTTTTGCTCTAGTTTTACACTTCATTCTTAGCATATGTAATCATAACTAAACTGAACTCAAAACTTTTATAACTAACTACAGGGAGATATCGGGATTTTGTTTTTCCATATATACTTTCTTTGCTGAATTGTTTCTTTTTGTTTTATATATTATGATTTTTTGGCTAAAGTAAACCACAATATGAGTGCTTAAAAAAAGACTGCCTTCGAATGATACTTAACATATAATATTTTTTGTTAAAATAGAACAGCACAAGGAGAAATCTTTTAAACAAGGCTCATATTTTGAACGAAATTTGCAAAAATTGAATGACTTAGATAAATACGAATTATCGACTGAGAAGCATGTTTTGTAGTGTTTGAACGCAGCCAATACTGATTAATTCAAAGTCAATATATATATATAGGATATGTAATAACACCCCATAATATAAACTTTTAACAAACGGGAATGAAGCCCGGTGACCCGAAATGGTAAGTAAAAGTTGAACATTATTATGTATTTATTTGTGTATTTATCACATGGAAACCAGAAAAAAAAATGATTTTTTCCAACAATCAAATGACTAAGCTTCGGACCTTTATAAATGAAAACAACAAAAATCATTTGGTAGTCCAAAACATTCAATTGAAATTTTAATAAATTCCAAAAAGCGTTTCACTATATACATGATATATATATCATTCAATTTGAAAAAAGAACAGTTTTCTATTTTTCATGTGTTTCACATTTATTTTTTTCCAACGATCAAGATTATCAAGGTAGGACTAATGGAGAAATGCCTTTACAAAGGCATGTCTAATTTGATAATTTTGCATACAATTTTGGCTCGTTGAATTTATAACTGAAAAAAATAAAAGAAAAATGCATTTATCTCTTTAATAGATATAAGAAGATGTGGTATGAGTGCCAATGAGACAACTCTCCATCAAAGTCAAAATTTACAAAAGTAAACCATTATAGGTCAAAGTACGGTCTTCAACACGGAGCCTTGGCTCACAACGAACAGCAAGCTATAAAGGGCCCCAAAAAATTACTAGTGTAAAACCATTCAAACGGGAAAAATTATTTTTGAAATATTTCTGATTAAATTCTTTCAAAATAGGTGAACACTTGTATAGCACAACTATTGTTTATTACTTATGTTTTGCTATCTGTTATACCGTTATTATAGAGTTAGATGCTGTTCTGCATTGTATTATATGTTCTTCATGTACCTTTATCTTAAAATTATGAAGATGTGGTATGATTGCCAGTGAAACAACTCTCCACAATAGACCAAATGACACAGAAATTAACAATAATAGGCGACATACGGTCTTCAACAATGAGCAAAGCCCATACCGCATAGTCAGTTATAAAAGGCCCAGAAATGACAAATGTAAAACAAATCAAACGAGAAAAGTAACGGCTTAATTTAAGTACAAAATAATGAACGAAAAACAAATATGTAACAAAGCAACAAACGACAACCACTGAATTACAGGTTCCTGATGTAAGATCGTCACAAAACGCCGGACGGATTGAACAGCAACATTTCTTGATAAACAAAGAAGTTATGAAATAACTGCAAGCTAATAATGGAAACTGTGTAATTGCAGTCGCGAACACTCAAAGTTCTATGTTTCAATTTTAGACGTTACCGGTTATCATATGAGGGTTTGGATGTGGGTCTTCAAATATTTATCTTAAATTCCTGTTATTCTTGTTGCCCATTATTTCCATTCTTTTATATGTTAGCTCCCTTTAAAATTTCTATCCTTTATGATAATTTCAAGGCATTTTTCTGTATTATGTAAAACCGCATTCGACAGACCTTCAAATAATAGAAATTGTTGTTCTCAATCAAAATTAATCATTAAGCTGAATGGTCAAGTGATTCGATCAGCGTGGCTCGTGAGTTGGGTCTTTTTTTTAATTAAGTTTGCTTGGGGTATGATTAGATAAATCTGTCAGCTTCAATTGTGTCGATTTCTTTGACTCCGATATATATCTAAGATTACTGAAAACTACCGCAAAGGGAATTTCCAGTTAGGGAAGGGAAATGTTTCCCTACTTGAAATCTTGAATTTGCAAAAGGTATGAATCAATGACGGCAACAAGACGACACAAGTCGATGTTTAGTAATTATAAAGGACAACTATTTTTTTTCTTTTTTTATAGGTTGTCTCAATGTCAGCTACGCCAATGATTTGATAAGCTGGGACATAAATTATATAGTTCCAGGATACACGAAGAAGGCCGAGCATTTTCATATAAATTATTCAGTAGCAATATGGATTGTTCCGAATTAGGGTCTGCTTTCCCTTTCAAATTCTTCTAATCTATGAATAGTTCACAGATCAATGGTGAAGCGCACCCAGTGCATGGAGCCTTTTTTGCAGCTGGTTTTAAAAAATTCGGATTTTCGGGTTTTCTCTTTCTTTTAAAATCTATTCAAATTTTTTGAGTAGGTTGGAGTTATAGTAATTCCCTTATCATTTTTGATATCCCTTTAATGTTTGTACAACGGAAATAAGTTTCCAATTTTCAATAAATCTGGTATCTAACAGAATTGAAAGCAAACATTCAAAAGGTGTTCTAAATATACATTTTTGTAGTAGAGTAGAAAGAATGGAATATTTTTTTAATTAGGGCCCCTGGAGGGCATATAGCATACACACAATATCATTATAAACAATAACATGTGTAATGCAATCTAGACGATAGATATGTAACATGTGCAATGCAGTCTAGACAATAGATATGTAACATGTGTAATGCAATCTAGACAATAGATATGTAACATGTGCAATGCAATCTAGACAATAGATATGTAACATGTGTAATGCAATCTAGACAATAGATATGTAACATGTGCAATGCAATCTAGACAATAGATATGTAACATGTGCAATGCAGTCTAGACAATAGATATGTAACATGTGTAATGCAATCTAGACAATAGATATGTAACATGTGCAATGCAGTCTAGACAATAGATATGTAACATGTGCAATTCAGTCTAGACAATAGATATGTAACATGTGTAATAAAAAACAATATGAAACACTGTCACATAAAAATATAATAACATATTATAATTCAATTAATAATATGTTTACATTGACTCAAGTGCACCAGGTATTTTGATTATTAAATAAACAGGAGGCTTATAAGTAGTTTGTGTCCTATGGAGAAATCTCTAAAAAAAAAAAAAAAAACAAAAAAAACCCTCACATTTAATTATAAGGTATATCGCAAATAACATTTAATAAAGGATATATATTATGACTAATCTGCAGTAAGCACCAAAAGTCAGTGCTAAAAGTCCCTATATATACTTGTACTTAATGCAGATGAGTCAAACTCCAAAAAAAAAAGTAGTAGCGACTCGCATCCATGCCTGAATAAAATTGTCTGCAGTTAAACAGTAGAGAAGTCCTCAGTTTTGTTTGTAGTGAGTTTGAAACAACTATCGTTATTTCTTTAGTTGAAATTTCTTGGTGAATATATTTATCTTTACAAATCTTCATGGATAATATGGTTAGCTTCCTTTTCAACTAATTTTAAAAATTTACAAAATGATTTAGTGTCAAAAGTAGCCCCAATGTTAGATTTTCTTTTGTTAGATCCCCAAAATTTTTCATGATTCCATCATGGCCTCGATTTCATTGCGTTCTCTGGGGATTGGAAAACTTCTGGCACTTCTTCAATAAACGGGAAAGTGTTCCTTTTTTTTTAGAAGGCTATAAAAAAGTACAGAATCTGCATGATTTATACCCTTTGATTCTATGGTTAGAGTGCAACTTCTATTCTACATTGGTTCCGAAATGAGGAGGTGGTGTTTTTCTTGAAGAGTTTACGGATTGTTGGGGTACGGTCAGATGGACGACCGTTTTGTTACCATTTAAAGAATGCATTGTTTTCTTTACAATTGCTTGAAAGATCATTCTCAGACATAATCTGTAATTTCTTGTTCTT